GACCTATTTCCACCAATTAGATCGCTCCGTTTACGGAGATTCAGGGGGACTAGTTGGGACTATAGTCAGGACTAGGGACTATAGTCCTAGGGGGCTGGGACTAGGACTAGGACTAGTGGGACTATAGTCTTACCAACGCTGTGGGAAAGGAACTAACGACAAAATCATCAGCGCAAATAGAAACGGATTTGAACAATTAAATAGCTCAAGTTAATGTACCATAAGCTCTCAGATTAACTTCAGTCTTTTCCAGCTCTCTACCTTTGAGTCTCCTCCGAATTTTTCTGTAAGTTCATCCACATTCTCTTATAGCGGAGAGCAGTAAATAGTAGTAACCATATCATAGCACCATAGGGACGGTTCAGTCATACTGCAGCGTCTGCTTGTATACTGTGATCAAACACCGAACGAAGTCAGCCATACAATTGATACCCTTCCACGCCGCGTTGATTTGAACTGGTTAAGAACTGGTTTTGCATAGGTCTCCAAGACACAGCCGCGGGTGATAAAATCGACGAGGCCATCTGCCCGTCCACATTTCTCTATTTCGCTTGGAATGAAGCTCCAGATGAACTTAAAACCCCTCGTTCATAGAAGCTCAAGTTCCATAAGAAAGGAAAGCGGTCACCAAGAGATCGTGAATATAAGCTGGTCTTCTTAATATCTCTTACCATTTCATCCTGATTTGGATCCGCAGCCTTTCGGATAATCATGATATAATGTTTACGCCTGGCAGCAGGCGGACATCTCGTCGTTATTCAGCAGTCCTGAAGCGAGTTGAACACGAGTGAGAGACATGAATATACTTGGCTGAACGTCGCGACTCTGCACACCTTTCCGTACGTTGTTCTCGTATCATTAACAGTGGACTCTGCTACTGGCATTTCTATAATGAAGCTCCCGTGCAACTTGCCCGACCTTGCCGCTGTCGTAAGTTCAAGTACCTCTGCCAGCCTCTCGTATCGTCTACTCTCAGGTACTGCGACTCTGCAATTATACCAAGACTCCATCGATTACTCTACCCGTTTGCCCCTCCTCGCTGTATCGCAAATTGCAAGGGCAATGCCTGCTCTTGAATTCGAGCTGACGTCCCGGCCCCATTGCAAGGGACACAGTATCTGCACAATTGAGCTGTGCGCGGGTCATAGTGCCATTTCCAGAACTGGATCTAACTCTGACGCCTTTGAAATTGATTTAAGGACCACATAGTGCCGCATTCTCCTTTAACTCCTTCTTTGAACATTTTTTCTAGGTTGCGATCAGGAGGAGAATTAATATCGAAGAGCTCATCCCTCCTGTATTCGTAATAGAAATGTGCATCCTCTATCTCGTCTCTATTGTTAGGCTCTCAGCCTCCGAAAGACTGCCACATCTCCACTTCAATTTGGACGCACGTACCGCCGCATTCTAGTTCCACTCGGACTCGTAGGTCGGTGGCGCAGTAACCGCAGGGAGTGTATTTTAAGTGTGAGCGCAGCCGATGGTCCTAAATTTATGAATTGTAGGCACAAGTCTATGCGAGACAATTTCACTGGTATCGACTTATGAAGTTAGAGTACTCGGGGGTTAAGCTGATAAAGATACGGATAGCTTATAGACACCGTAAAGCAAAAGCTTCCCCCTAACAATCCGAGCGTCAAGACTCGTGTCAATATACCCGTCCTCGTGAAAGAACACAGCACCATTAGACTTGCAGTTATGATTTAGCTCATGGAGCTACGGACCGTATCGCGAGCCTTTCGCAAATCCTCTTAGGAACGCGTCCACCATATTTCGATAGATTAGGGCTGGTTCATGGGCGGAGCACCAAAGTGCGCCACGCTTTAACGACGCATAGTTATGACGGTTAGGGTAGAGGTATCGCTAATCATTCTGCCAGCGGTACAGAATATTGCACCTACAGTATACCATCATCTCGGGTAAGTCCTCCTCCAGAAGCCGGAGAAAGCGTAGTTTTTCTGCAAAGTTGTCTCGCATTTTTGGATTAAACTGGTCAACGAGGGCTTCGTGGTACCATTTTAAAGTAAGACTCATATAGGCGATAGAGCTCTCTGGCAAAAAGGAGATGATACGCAGCAGAATTTCTATTGGCAAACTCTCTAAGGTCGAGGTTCGTGTGGCCTCTACCTGTACTAAGGGTGAACTCTGGCACGCGACTGTTAGCGAGCGTCGCAGTCGTGATGAGATCCGATCTTTGAGGGATAGAAGTGCATTCATGGTCTCGTCTAAAGGCTTATAAGCATAGAAGGATGGTTAGGATGTTCGTCTACCGCCGCGAGCTGATTCCTGGACATTCCGGTGGGATAAATAGAAAGTCAAAGGAATGAGGAATGAAAGATCTGTACCGGGAAGTTCTGTCAACAGGTCTTCAGGTACCAGAGGCTTGACAAGCCAAACACCAGGTTCAGCCACTGCGGCGTCTGCACACGCATGACCTGACCATGGGATAATGGCGGTTTAATGTCATGACACCTCGGAGTGAGTCCGCTATTGGGAGGTAAATTGCGGGAAATGGCGTTGAGGTAGCTGTTGAGAAAAGGACCCACTTTGAGGATACGACTGTATCAAGGACGACTACTCCTCACGGAGCCTCCTTTTTATAGTCCTTACAAAAGTTCTATTTCTGCATCCTGGCGGCCTCACGGATATTAGCAAGGGCTTCTGGATAAGCCTGCAAAGCGTATATAAGTGGGAATCGATCCCCAAACAATGAGAAGGCGGACGAGATACAGGAACACAGAGATATCAGATACAGTCAGTCAATGACGTATATCCACCTACCTCAGATATCTCAACAACCGGCTATTCGTGGACTATAGAGCTCACATCTGGCGTGATATTGAAAGACTATTGTTGAACGACGCTCAATCACAATCATCCTGGAACAGATATTGAGACAGATCATGACACATATCGAGGACGGATCACGGATATTGATCCTGCCGAGGACGGAACAGGCTGTTGCCGTTGTAAATATACAGATATATAAGTGTTGACAGAGAGCGCCACCGTGGTAAGCCATCCACCAATGCTTCAACTGAGGCCTCTCTATAATAGCCTCGGTGCCACCGTTGATCGACAACGAGGTCTGGACAGATCTGGCCAGGTCCAGATCTATTCAGTGGATCGCTTCTTGCCACAGGGCAAATAGTATATAGACAGGCAGAGTCTCTCTGAAAAGCCAGAGGACAGAACACAATCAATCAGATGAATCCACTCTCATTCTGTCTACAACAATAAGAACAACAGGATCGCAGGAACAGAACAGGACGGGACAGGACAACTTACAACCTCAGACAGACAATAACACGTGATATGCCCCTGTCAGCGCCGTAACTGTTCCACTCCAACAACGATCAACGCTCAGGAAAGCGCTTTTGATGACCTGTTGAGAACATGGAGGCAGCTCCGTATCATTAAGCCGCTAGTCGCAAATTTCCAACTATCTCACCATCAGTATCTGAGGTCCTTAACAGTGGCGTTCTGTGCTCGCTTTCCAAGCACTCAACAAAGATTGTTCGAAGTAGATTCTTATTAGTTTCGCCTCACAATATGCACTAGGTGCGATGGTTTGGAGGTTCTTGATCAGCACTGCACCAGGTGTTCTGCTTCCTCGACCCCAACCAATGCGGGCCAATGCGTATCTAGTCCTTGCGTGCTCCGTGGTTTCTTGCCAATAAGAAAGGCATTTCATGAGAGTTCTCTTAGGGTCAAGGCGTCCTAGTGTTAACTGTCCTCTCTTTGTCATTCAGGGCATCCGCCTCCGGGAGGTCCTCCGCGAAGGTATAAGGATGACCATCTCCCTCTCTTTCTGAACATTTATTCCCACATTCTCCTAGCACTTTCCCTTTCCTTGCTTCAGCATCTCGGCTCAGCGTTTATTCGAGCCTTTAAAGTCCCCGTCGACATTTATATCCTTCTGTAGTACTATCAAGGCGCCCCAAAACACCCAAATGTCCGCCGACGATATGAGTGACCATAAGAGCATAGTGGTCTCGTCTTGGGGTGCTGATGGCTCTAGGGCCGCCTCTGGAGCAGCCCTAAGTCAGTTGCTTTCCACATTTCCAGTTGCAGAGTGGTGTTGAATCTCAAGTGCCTGCCAGTCAAGCCAAAGTCACCGTCCGCCCAGCTTTAGCGCTTCGCCGACTCTGCTGCCGGGCTCAATCCATGACACCCAGAGCAGGCAGATCATAGACATCTCACCTATCTCATCGCCAAACTCGACACGATCATGTCTGCGGGTGGCAACCTCGAAGAATCCAAGTTCTGACGATATCTAACTCCGGCCGTACACGTCTGTGGCTCACAGGGAACTCGTACTTGACGAAAGTTGCGAGGTTGGAGGCTTTTTACCCCACATGAAGCTTCTATCTCCCCTCCTTGCCGCAAAAATCGCTCATTCTCACAAATTTCGGATGCGATGGTCAAAGTTGTTCGTTGTCAACCATCGCCGTTTTCGCGCCAGTATGATGTTGCCGACCACGACTGCATCTGAAATTGAAGATATATGGGAAAAGACGTGTGAATCGTTGTAATATATAGTTAGAATGTTCAGAAGAGATAATTTTAATGCTTTATCTTACGTTTCTGAGTGGGTGGTGTTGATGGAAGTGATATGGTGGATTTTGGGGTAGGGCGACAGTCCTTACGAAAGCACAGCGGGGTGTAAACAAACGGTCAAAACTGGCACCACTCCAAAAAGAAAACTTAGGGACGATTGAATCTGTATGCGCCAACAACATTCCGTCATTCCAGGGTTTGGCATTAGCGTTTGACCGCCACAATGGGCCTCATATAAATTTTTGGCTCCATACAACGGTTTAATCGTCGCGCTCGGGCGATGGTACCTTGAATATATAAACATTCGTCGATATTATTCGGTTAGCACAGGTGTTCGACGAGTCAAAAACGGACCTAGAGCCCTCGGACCCACGAGTGCCTCTGATTTCGCCGCGGGAATCGCGCTAGGCAAGCCAACGCGGCCGTTACAACCTCTCGAAATGAATGGCCTGAGTCGGTCTCCGCGGCGGGTGCCCAATGTTGCAAGTCCAAACTCGACCTCAAGACAGAGCGCAGACTTTGGCTTGGGAAGTTCAGAGAGTGCCATGGAATTGGACAATGTTGCTCTCGACGCGGAAGAGGATCTGTGACTCGACGAGAATTTGACCAAATCACGCATTCTTAGAAAGGTAGGTGTCTTCTTCTAATGTGTGACGAGCCCATGAAGCTAACTCCTTACACAGATAAGGCGACAAGAACCTTCCATGACAATATCCGAAAAGCTGGCCGCAGTAGAGGCGGAAGCCGCCGAAGCACACCGGAACCCTCCCTCCCCCCATGTCGACACGATAAGCAAGAAGAGGAAATATGGCGCGAACGCTGCGAAGACCAGGAAAGCCAGCAGACGACGTTCCACACTTAGTCCTGAAGAGCTAGCTGAATTAAAGGGCTTGGAATAGGTGTGTACGGCCTTAGTATAATGATTGCTGTTGGATAAGAGCATAAGCAGTAGATGAAATCACATTGTGTGAGAAGCAGCTACCCACTTCTAATTACTGTTTGATTCGAGCTCATCCTCTCACTCGTGCGCCAGGTCGCCCCAAGATATTCCGAGCACGACAGTCCCATGTGACACCTTCACATGTCGTGTCTGGCGTGAAACAGTGAGAACATGATCTCAATTCAAAGTTCTTCTCTGCACTCTTCTCGCGGCTCCTGCTCTGCTTGGCGCCATTGAAATTCCGGCGGAGCGTGTTCGCTGAGAGGACAGCCATATCTGGGAATGCAGTGTTCGAAATTCGTCCACATACCCGTCTTGGCGATTTGCGCAGCGCCCTTGGAGGCAGCGTAGGCGTGCTCCTCTGCAGTACGGAGGTATTCCTCTGCCTTGATCTTGTCGTTGTGGCGAAAACCTCTCGAATGAGCTGCAGAAATTTCGGTCGTGTCACCTCTGTGCCATGCAGAATGAGGAGATCTATCGGCTCTGCACCGTGTCGCGAGAAATGAGACACACGGTCTTTGACCCAGCTCCAATAATGATCAGGATCTTGAGCATTTAGAGAGTTAGTACCACGATCGAAGTGATCTTCTGTCATATTTTCAGAGATGGCGATCAGTCCGTCATTGCGGTACATTTGTTGGAGGCCAAAGTAACTTGCATCAAGTTGGATGCTGAGGAACGAGTGGATGAGGCGACCGTTATACTTCTCGCACTCGATGTCAGGAATCTGATGCGTTTCATTGACGTGGATTCTATAACAGTGTTGGAGCTGGTACAAGCCGAGGAGGGCCGCTCTGGACTCATCCCGCCGCCTAGATTGGAAGCCGTGCAGCCCAGCGCCCGAAAGGAGCGGATCAATAAGGCTGACGGCATAAGTCGAATTAATGACGAAATTAGGAATGGCGAGGAATGCAGTGCGATGCTGAAGGTGGTGGATAGTGGACGCAACGGCGAATAAAGCTCGAATCATATCTGATATTGGCTCGAGAGTGGGCGAGACGCTCTGTGGGTGGTTTGCCGGGGTGTGAGAGTGGAATTGTTGTAAGAATGAACGCCACACAGACATCCAAGATGCCGTGCTCTCGCTGGTCTCGGGCTCTAAGCGTCTTAAATAAAATGTATCAGCATCCTGGGGGCCTGGGTGTGAAGGTGAATGGTCTGTACATGTCATGGTGTGGGCGCGTTGATTTCTGGGGCATGTCCATCCTAGAGAGATCTATCAATGCAGCCAGATACCCAGGTGTCCCAGGAATGATTCCAGCACTCGTTGATGATCCATTGGTGAAAACAAGAGAAACGGATCTATAGAGACTAAGTACTTGCTCACCTCGAAGAAGCGTTCAGCTTAGTCTTACCCATAGTCAGGGGATAGTGAGAGCCCGACTCCTGTGGAGAAAGGAAAGCGGTCAGCATCTGCATACTCATTGCTGATGCGGCGGGTGTAAAGCGAACTTACCTGCAGCCTCTTGCAAGTCTAATGATCGACATTCCGAGCAGACTTGAGTACCAGAAATAGGCAGACACAGGCAGAGTATGTTGACAGCGATGAAGATACTTGAGGTGCAGCTACCGGACAGAAGCCGAGGACGCATTTTGTGCAATGATAATTTGGTAGAGAATGCTCCATCGCCACATTCAAGGAAGCGTAAGATGTCTGTATAAGTACACATAGACGGCGAGGTCGACTGGCCAGGGCTGTGCAGAGTGGCCTTTGTACTAGCCAGTCCCCTGCCAAGAACTGCCGAAACCGCACAGCCTCCTCAACTTCCATCTGGCCTCGAAGGATAAGTGCTGCACCCGGACTCCAGCTCACAAAGCCTCGGTGCAAATTTGACGATGATGTCCTATCATGAAACACACCGGATCTCCCATAGCGTGGCATCCGCCGCAGCGAGATTACCAAAATACGCTCCTCTATGTTGACCTCGCAGACCGCAGTCCCAGAGTTGGCACAGCCGTTGTCTAGGCCAGACGGGCGTCAGATTTCGCCAAAATATCTATGAACGTGCCGCCGACCATGCACTGAAACTCGCCCCAGAGGGTCTCAGGTGTTTACAGTTCAGATGTTGTATTTCGCGACGATATGGAGAATGGGCTGTATTCTTGTCTACAGCTGAATCGCAGAACATGCAACCAAGACAATCTCGCTGCATGCATTTAACGGTATCGAGCTCAAGTCGATTCTACCGTCGGGCTCTGAATAGGCAGATAGCTGTCTCCTCCGAAAGCGCCTGCTGGCCCACCACAAGCAACCACCATGCCCGCAGGTGTAAAAATAATACCACCAATTTTGTCTTATACGCAGCGCCACGAAGCACCTATACAGCGACCTCCGCCGTCGTTTCGGCAGTATCAAGTTCAGATTGTCCAAGCCCCTGGACCGGTTTTCCTTCATACCGCGCGATTAGGTGTTCACGGTACCGTGTCAACCAGGATTCCCGAAGATAAAAGAGTGCCTTTCTCACGGCTCAGAAAACAGCAATGGCTCTGAACAACTCCTCAATCCCCATCTTGAAGCGATATCATCCTCAAGCACATTATCTTTTGGCTTTCTCAAAACGAAATGCACATCGTACAACTCCATGCATTCTCGGCTTTTCTTTTCCTATCCATGAGTCAGGCAATACTGCCCAAAGACTCTCGCACCTTGAATCTCGTGAAGCTGTTGCCATACAAGGGAGCACCCGAATCTCCGATCAGCTGTCAGCAGAGTATGATGAAGTGGAAGGGAATACCTTTTTTGCGATCGAGAGGTCCTGCACAGGCGATACTCGGAATATTGCACAAGGGAGAGGCTTCAAAGATCGTCGAGACTATTACGTCCAAGCTGTCAAGGATATGACAGCTATCGCCCATTCCGCTCAGAAATGGCCTCAACTTGGTACCGATGCCTCGGACTTATATTTCGGCAAGGGCGCCGATGACGAGCAGTATTCTAAAGATATAGTTGGTATGGCATCCCCGTGTTCTGACATCCGAGACTTCGACTAATCTTTCAGCAAATATCAAGGCAGCTGCAAATTGGGCGCACCCACAGTGGGGCTTCGATCCCTATATCGTAAGTCTTGCAGCCCAGACTCGCAATATTTTTCACTGTCCACTCTCTAATGCTAGCAGACCCTAACTTGTAAGTGAATAACAACACCAAACCGAGGTGCAGTTGCTCAACTCCTCTAGGTAGCGACCCAGAGGGGAGATGCAACAATAAAATAGGGAAAGATCCCAGGTTAGTACCACGAAATCCGGCCAATTCATCCTGATTCATGAGATGCAGGAGTATCGGATGCTACGTCAATAACACCGCAGACCTATTCTCTACAATTTCCCGCGTCTCTTGCTGTGGAACTTTCTTCACAGTACCGACGATCGATGAAGTTTTCGACGAATATAAATCTGCCGACCCAAGCACGCTTCATCTAGATTGGATGAGAACAGGCGGGTCTTACCTGCTGCATGAGTTGATGCATACAACAAAGATCACGCAGACCCGGCCTCATAGTGAGTTCGCACATCTCATCGTCTAAAGAACCTTCTAATGTCTTCAAGTCATTGACCAAGTATTTGATGGTGCGCATCTATGGGCCGAAGGACTGTGCCAAAGCCGCAAAATCGCAGTCGCAAGGAGGCGTAGGGCTTGATATCACGACAAAGAACGCAGACAGTTACGCCTCGTTCGCCATAGGTACGGACATGCCACTACAGAATTGATCAATGTGACGGCTCTATTCTGGACAATAGCTTACCAAAAGTCCCTTCTAGCGATGTACTGGAAAGACGTCTTCCAAGGAAATGCCCCACCACCCGCGGCCGACAATGAACAACCGCCTGCAGGTATTCCAGACTTGCTGTCTGACAACGATGCCTCGAATATCGATTTCTCACCCCCCGACCCTACGGCGGTCTGCGCTAGCACCCCGGCTAACAAGCCTTCAGCCTCTCAATCCTGGATTGCAGGGAAAATTACCTCTTACTGCGAGTAGATCTCATCAAGCGGATGGGTAGTGAATTCTATACTCGGCCAGTACGGTCCAGTCGGCTACGCTGCTGGAGATACAACACCTACCTTGGCGAATAATCTTTGGATCTCTGCTTCATTCGACCCCAATTACAGCCAGAATACTGGGTACCAAGTCGACGTCAACGAGTGCGAGAAGTTCTTGAACATTGTGTTGAATGGATGCAACACTGATAGTGTCGATGCAAAGTACGGTGGACAGGTCGAAGGGAATTACGCTTTGTGGAATATCACCACCCGCATGGGTCACAATCCGACTCCTCCAAACGGAATTCCCCCTTCACCACTGGATTTTCCTAATGGGAAATGAAGCTAGCGCTGTGTACAGGAGTTTTCCAATATTTGACACAACCTCCAGCACGATCATGAGAATCGAGTCTGGACTGTACTTTATTTCCAGCTGCAGCAAGGAGTTCCTGAGGCGCATAGTGATAGCATACAATAAGGTAGAAACATATAGTGTACCCAACACTCGTAAATCTATTTTTATAGGGTGAGAGTAAATACTTGCTTCAGACTCGACTAATTTTGAGTAGGAAACTAAGAACGGAGAGCAAGATTTTGTGGCTAGCGCAGGCCGAGGTTTGAAGTAAAGCGCCTAAGACTTATTCCGCTGATCCTAGTCCGCGTGACGTTAGATTATGAGACGCGTATGTGCTACCATAATTGTTTAGAGGAAAATTGGCAACTATAGGCGGGTGCCGGTAACAGGGCCCCTGACCCTGAAATGGGCCGACCGATCCTTTGCTCAGGTTGGATTTGACGCCGTAATCAGTCACGTGCTGGACCGGCTCAGGTTGAAGCGGCGGGGCTCAGAACGTAGTGCACGATGGCAGACCAAGAAGAATGTCTTTGGTTCATCGATCTTCGAGCTGCAGAGAGACGTTCGACGATTAGAACAAGAAATCGAAAACCTGAACAGTATTGTAGCTGCTGAGGCGGCAGCAGAGGCACAGAGGAATAGTTGGGGAACATGGTTGTTATCACCAATATACAAGGAGAGAGATAGTGAGGAGGAGAAGGCACGGAAAGATAGAGAGAGGCAGGAGAGAAGAATCGAGAAAGATATGAAGGAGCGACGACTAGAATTGAAGAAGGCGGACTTAAAGACACAGGAAAATCGGTTAAAAAAGGCGAAGGAGGAGGTCGATGCTGCGGATCTGAGCGATGACGGGAAGATACGACTAATTCAGGCTAAATATGGGCCGCAGAAAATCAGGAGAGGCAAGAGAGGGAGAAGCTGGAGAAAGAGGGAATGGCAAAGCTTCGGAGACAACAGCAGCAGCAGCGGGAGAAACAGCAGCGGGAAGCAGCGGAGGCGATGAGAAAACAACAGGCAGAGAAGCGAGCAGCAGAACAGCATCGACAAGAGGAAGAGGAAGCTAAAATTCGCCGGGAACAATATACACATTTCGATTTCACCAGTGGAAGCACTCGCCGGGCTTACACATCAACTTGCCGTCACGACGGCTGGTGGCCAAAAGTACAAGGTCGTATGGCATGTCCGGAGTGCTGTGAGAGTTGGACTTATCTGCTGCAATGCCCGGGTTGTCAGATGAAGGCGTTTCCGAGATGTCAAGCTTCGATACGGCCGAAGACACCGCGCAACACGGCGAAGACCAGTCGAAGAGCCCCTCCGCGAGTGAGGACTCCAGGCCCGGATCTTGGGTACGACTGGTAATATAGGCTTGTACTGTAGTACTTTAAGAATGTGTCATTCTATACATTTCAGCTTGCCAAGTGCTTCTAGCAACGTTCTCGAGTTGATGTCCGGATGTCTCGAAACCACAACCATTAGATGCCAACAACCTCTGGTTTTACAGCATCTTGTGGCGTTCGGAGACCTGTTTTCCAGTCAAGGCCATGCCTGAATTTCCGACTTGAGACGCTCAGAATCCTGGTCTTCTGCGTGGGATGCATTCGAGGCAGAGAAGCTGGCTTGCCTTATCTTGAAATCCGCGCTCAAGGTTTTGAGAATTTCAGCGTCTTGCTTTGCACGTGCCAGAAGCTGCATGGCTTCCTTTCTCAAATCAGTGTTGGCCAGTTAGATATCAGACAGGTTCAGAACTCCAGCACACTGGCCACTGTCGGCTTCTTTGCAGGTTAGACAGGACTCCCAGTCATCCGCAAAGACACACTGGCGATTCTGAGCGGTACAATTCAAGCAATTACCTTGCAAAGCTGTCGCATCCAGTACTAATAGCGGCGGCAGTTTATTTTGACTTAGCCAATCCATAACCAGCGGCTTTGTGCAGCCTAAATTTTCAGTGGGTTTGCGCAGAGCTCTCATCCAATGATGTGGAGCCACGACACTTCGACAATAACATGGATTTTCTGTTCCGCAAGAGACGAGGGCGTTTGCGATGGTGCTGTTCATTATCATCTAAAGACCCCAAATTAAAGAGCAAAGATAAGTAAACCCTTGTCCGACGATCAACAGGCTAGCGAAAGCATATCGTCCAAATCACATGCACCAGACAATATTATTAGAGGTCTTCTCGCCGTTGTATAGAAGCAAGAAGAGACCATAAAGAGACTTAACGAAGACTTAACGTCTTCTGTAACAAATATAAGAAATCTTTAAATTACGACAACGGCACTAGCTGCTACACACACACAATTTATTACGCCCGGCGGCAAAGCCGAAAGCATCGGCAAAATTTCCCGCGCGACCCTGAGAGCCCTGGGCTGCCCTGGGCTGTCAAGGTAAGTCTGCGTCTTACGCAGCCCATGAGACCGCTGGGCTCGCTGGGCTACTCTAAGAGAGCTCATGGGCTACTCTAAGAGGGCCCTGGGCTAATATAATAATTTATAACTTTACGAATATATAATTATACTAGTCG